CCTGTACTTACCCAACCCGTATCCAACGGACAGGCAAAAAAAATAGTTAGATTAAAAAAGACGAAAGAATAAAAGACCGTTGCGTTGACTTTTTGATCGCACCTCGTACCTAAAGAAACGCCAAAATGTTTTCTTTGATTATTGTGGAGTAGTAGATGACGGTTTTACCACAAGGTCGTAAGGTCAATAAAGGGCATTACCTTGAAGTTATGCGGAGGAAGGAGGTTTGGAACTATTGAGGAGAGAAAGAAATAATCGCTGGATGAACTCGCTTACCAGAAACGTTGGCAGAAGTCAGGGGGATCACTTTGAAGGGGACAACATTAATTTTGATGAATAAATAAATACTTTTTGATAAAACTCAAAATTCACTTTAATTTTTCAATTCAATGTTGTTGATTGGTGTTTGCAGATCTTTTTTATATCTCTCTCGTGTTATGAACCAAAGCATATTCGTTCCATATCCATACGAACATCGAAGAGAGTTTCAATTTAAACTTTTCCGAAAAGTTTTTGAATATTTTAAACGATATGGATCCGATAAGGGTCAGAAACGACGTGTTCTCATCGACGTACCGCCGGAATGTTGGTAAAACGATCAGGTAGGAAAACAATTTTGAGCAAGAACTGGATTCGAACCCATAATACATAAATACCGGGCCGCCGAAACCCCTAAAATAAATTTACGGCGACTTCAATTCTCCTGCAGTGAGAACTTTCGTTATTTATGTACGGCATCTGCGTCGTAAAATACGGCCAGGTACATTGTAGTGCAGACCACAAGCTTCATTGATCGGTATATCTGCTAAAATACACAACAAAATCACTTATGAAAGGTTTTCCTCTTGGCTTGGAGGGTTATTACGTCGGTGATCATGCTTCGGGTCCCGAGTTCGATGCTCTGCAATAACGGCGTTTTTTTCTCTCTGAATAAATATTTCGTTAATGGCACGTTTCGTGGAGTATTCTATGCAACAACGTAGGCGAAGTTCTGTCGGGATCACCACAGATGATCGAATATTATTCAAATGGCCGAAAATCCCGAACGGTGTTCGGTCCCGTTTCGGAAAGTCTCGGTGAGTCTCATCTCGCGAGGAATTTCGATGTAGCAGACGGTCAAATATCTCCGAATACGAATTGGGAAAAGGGTGCTTGTTTTAAATATAGAGGAGTACATTGGGTGCAAAATCCGCACAGGACGACACATGAATCCTAGGCACCCGATCAATTATTGTTTTCAAACAAATATAGGTTAATTTTACCGAATGGTGCTGCAACCCGCATTCAAAAGAATATTTGTTATTAACCCGTGAGTATCTTTTGAATATTTTGGTGTCATTATCGCCCCCTATTTATTGCAGCCACCGGCTAAGGTAAAAGTTGACGTCTTTCAAATCAAATTTATGAATGACAACGTCCAAAACAAAATTCATATTTAAGCAAAATAGGTACGGTTTACACGTGATGATGGGAATAAAACTGATTATAAGCTGAATTCACTGTGCAATTTGTCCTAGCCAGTTGCGAGTGAGCCTTGGGGGTTCCCAATTCGTATTCGGAGATATTTGACCGTCTGCTACATCGAGATTAAGGGGTTAAGAATTTTCGACCATTTGAACATTCGATCTTTTGTGGTGTTCGCTTTTTCTCTGAATAAATAATTCGTTAAGGGCACGTTTACCAGAGCAGGCCATGCAACGTGGACGGAGTTCTGTGAGGGTAAAAATACGGCACATGCTATGCAGTTGGATCAATCCGATATCAATGGTCGTTAAATCGCGACAGGCGGAAAAACGAGAACCTCGTAAATGGAAAAGGTCTGAAGTTGACAAATGTCGGAAACTCAATGATCGCTGTTTTATTAATCGGAACGGACTTCCCGGTTTTAAACGCGATCGCTTCCGGAACGAGATCCCGTTACGGTTGTTACGGCCTTTGATTAATTTAACTTCAGCGATAATCGGATCACGTGTAGGGAACCAAAACGACGAAAAATCACGCAAAACGTTTGACGTGCCCGTGAGTCTTTTTTATCTCACAAACATAAAGAGTTGGCAATGTTTCAACTGGGTGCATGTCGATTTCGGAGTTTGTGTAAATGCAAAAATCGAAGGTATTTGCTTTTACTTATGCAAATGTCAGAAAAAACAGACGACGATCGCGAACTGTCAAAATGACAGGAACATCTTTTTTTTTAAGGAATGCCCTATATATTGTTAGCTTAAGTCGTATTGATACCTTGATAGCAACCAATGTTTGCAATTGTTTTAACAATGTTTTAGTTTTGACAACTAATCAAAACTAAAGATCTGCAGCGCAAGTTAAATAACTTAAAAGCCAAATAACGAACTTAAAAAAGAATATCGACATATATATCCAGGTATGGTCTGTTCACATATATGAGAAAGTGACCAATTGCTTTTGAATGGGATTATCCAACGGTGGTCATTAAAATACAATGCAACAAGATTATTACCTAAAGTTTCGGAATTTAAATTCAGGTAAAATTGTGTTTATACTTACCTGTGTTTAATATTCTTTGGTTTGGTATACTACTTAGTTTAAGTTTATTACAGCGCGTGTTGAATCGTGTGCGAATTATGCAAAATATGTCCGAGTCTAGTGTATCTCAGGAGATACTCCCGCCCAAATGTAGAAAACACTATTCTATTGGGACTAAGGAAGTTATAAACAATGTTTATTTGACTCTTATTGAACGTAGTGCCAGCAAGCAAGCATCTTTAGAAGAAACGGCCACATTGACGAAAATTCCGACATCAACTGTATAGAAAATTGTGAATAATCCCATTTCAGCGAGGAAAAAAAGAAGCGATGCTGACATTTTCTCGAGTGTAGATGAAAGTGATCAAGTGATCAAGTGATAATATGGCGTAAAATTTACCAGTTATACGAGGAACAAAGCATGCCCACATTAGATATCTTAATTAGGAGGCTTGAAAAAGATGAAACCCGTGTGGAAGTGTATTCAACACATGGGTTTTAGATTTAAAAAAATTGACAAAAGGCAAGTTTTAATGAAATCTTTTAGAATTCGTAAATGGCTACTGGAATATCTAGAAAAAATAAGATTTACAGAGAACAACAAAGGCCAATTATTTACTTGGATGAAACCTGGTTCGACACTTATGATTCCCCGGGAAAGGGTTTTGTTGACTCAACTGATAAGTGTAAAACAAACGCGCCATCAAAAAGAGGTAAAAGAATAACTATTTTGCATGTTAGCTTTAAAGATGGTTGGATTCCAAATGGACTTTCTCTGTCTGCAAAAAATATTAAAGATTCCTCTCTGGATTACCATGAAGACACCACCGCTGATTTATTTGAAAGTTGGTTTAAAAACAATATAGTTCCCCAAACATTCCTCCTAATAGCGTCATTGTAATGGACAATGCAAGTTATCACAGTAGACAGTTGACTAAAACCTCTTTCTCATGTGACACAAAAGCAGCAATCCAAAACTACATGTATAATAACGACATTTATTTTCACGAAGATTATACCAAATAGCAATTAATTAAGGTTCTACAAAGCTTGAACCTACAAAAGGAATACGTCTGTACACTTGACCACTGAACAGAATACGTCTGTGCTAATTATGCAAAAAATGTAGGGCATACAGTTTTAACGCTTCCACTTGACCACTGAACATGTTGCCACCAACTGAAATCTGCCATTCGTCGTAACAATGCGTTTCCCCTTGTTAACTCCCAATGTCCTCAAACTTATAGAAACTGAAGTTTTTAACATCCCTCCACAAAGTTGGGCAAATTCTGTTAGACATATAGAAAAAGAACAATCGTATATCCATATTGCAAATAATATAGAACAAATAGTAATTAGAACAGGCGGTGATAGCGATAGTGATTATGTGAATAATTTTAAGTAATTTAAGTAGGTAATAAAAATAATTTGTAATTTTATTTTAGATTTTATTTAAATAATAAATATTATTTAGTATCTTTCCTAACAAAACACCAAATAATTAAATTCTAAGCAAAGTACGGACCTGTTCGGCCATATTTCATTCTTACAGCTTGCCCGGGTCTTTCCTTAATTCGTATCAGTTAGTAACTTTCTTATATCTATGAACAGACTTTAGAAGAGTTCCTTCAGTAAATACAATTTAAAATGTAATTAAACAATTTGAGGACCGTAATAGTGTCACACGGAAGGCCAGGAAAATAGAAAGAAATTTTGATTAAGACCTCAATATATTAATTTACATTCTTAATTTTTATATTTCATATTTTTAAAAAATCTTGAATATTCTATACCTGACTTTAAAAAATTATCCGGAAAGTCCTAAGTCCTAGGAAAATTTAATTCAAAAATTCAACGAAGAATAAACATTTTTGGTCCACCAATAATCTACACAAAATGCAGGCATTGAAAGGGCGGAGGTCAGTTAATGTATGGTGTGGTATGTTGAACAATATGGTGGTCGGAACAATTATATACGAGGGATCGTTTTCCTTGAAACCGAAATAAAACAGTTGTTAGAAAATCTGCCAGTTAGGAATTATTTAAATTTAAATTTTCATCAAGATGGCGCACCTCCACACAGTGTCCAACCGGCTACCGATTGTACGTAGGCAAGGAACTATCAAATCGCCTGCCAACAGCTCCGACCTGAATCCTTGTGATATTTTTGTGGGGGTGCTTAAAAAATAAAATTTATTATAATAGTGATAAGAAAGAGAAATTTAATGTCGTTTTAAATTCTTAAATCTAAATTCATAAATCCCAGTTTTTAGTATTACATTAAGACGAGAATCTGTAACCCTCTAATCTTAATTGAAAAATGCTTTTCTGAAACATATTTTTCTCGCGAATATATTTATGGAAGCCTTTGAGAAGAAAGCTTTCGACACCCTCCATCTTAAACCAAAATTATGTATATATATATATGAATAACCTGTATGAATTATAATATATAAATATGTCAATTGCAACGTTAACTAATTTGGTTGCTGTTACAGATACTTTACCGGCCACAGTCAACCGTCCCGCTGTCAGCATCGGTCGTCATACGATCCGACGTCATCAATATCGCAGCAGGGATGCGAGTTGCGTGGTTCCAAGGGTGGACCTGTTGACGTATAGGAATGGGCTGGCTGCTGGTTGTTGCCTTGGCACTCACCTTCGTCACGCTGATGGGTACGTCGCTTTTGGTATTCATCTTAATCGTGCAAATCTCCCTTTGGAACGACTTAGGTGTCTCGCAAGGAGCTCTAGCTCAACCTCAAGCCGGCCTGCCTCAAAGCACGCCCTCCCCGATCCCGGGACTCCCGGGAGGAGGCATGGGGGGCATCAAGCGCACTTTCGGAGGTTGGAGGGAGTGGCGCAGGGCGGACCCCACCCTCATCAACAGTTTGCTGAGAAGCAGGATGGGCAACGGCATCAGGAAACAACTGGGTAAGGGGAGGAAGAAAGTAGCGCGGTTTTGTTTAATTTGACATGTACCAAATATCGCGTAAATATCGAACGACCGACTTGAATGTTTGCCAAACTGTTTCCCAGTGCTGATACGAGCCAATTTCAATATGGGCAACAACGTTACTTGAGACAACGTATTTATTTGGCACTCTGAACGACGAGCCTTTTAAAAGATTAGCATCTTAATTGCTATTACTGTTTCCGAGCATTTCGTTTATGAATATTCTTGAATGTTTACGTCAGCCGTAAGCGAAATATATAAAAACTAATCAAAATTGATACCTATTGGAACAAATAGTTAACTTTCTTATTTATTTTCTGACTACTACAGTTGAAACTCTATATAGCGAAATTGAAGGGACTGCTTTTTTTTATTATAAAGAGTTTTCGCTATAAGGAGTTATAGGCACTTGAAAAATAACAATACGCATATGTATTTAATTATTTTAAACATTTGAACATTTTATATAAATATTTAAGAACTACATTTAATGTTTCAAGTAATCGGTAATTTTCTTTTGATTTTTTTTAGTATGCCAATACGCATCTCGTACTTAGGCTTGTATTTTGACCATTTCTTCAGGAAGGGCATTTTCCCCATGATTTTCCTAGCAGCTTAACTGAATATAGGGCTTGTTGAATGGTTGGTGGTGGTCCCGGATGAACTTCTTCATCTTCTTCTTTCTCTTGGTGCTCTTCCTCACCCTTGCTTGCTCGTTGTAATGCGGCTTCCTCTGTCAAGTCTGCTGTTGTAGGCAAATCCTGATCTATCACCATAAAATGTTGCAACTCCTCACTGGTAAACGCAATTGTTGTTTGAAACTGCTTTATTCACTCGTTTAGTGCCTGATCATCTTCCAAGTCCTGTTCGCATTCTGTCTCGGTAATAAGTCCTGCATGACGATAGGAGTGTTGAATTGTTTCTGCTGTCACCTCTTTCCAAGCTTTACTAACGAAGTTGACTGCATCTAGCATATTAATGGAAAATTTATCTTCGGACTCGATCATTTCCATTAAAATGTTTTTCCTGTATCGAATCTTAAGACTTTTTATTGCGCTCGGTTCACACACTTGTTGTTTTGGCTGGATTTGGAATATGGAGATGTGCAGGGCAGTTATATAAGAGAAGTAATATTTTCTTCCCCTTTAATTAAGTCAAACACTGGGGACGACCAGGTTCTCGGTAATTAGAGTATTAGGGTAACGAATTCTGAGAAGGTTACAAGTTGGCCTACATTCCTTACTTTGTTACCTGATGTGCCCTTTTTTCTTCCGCTATAGAGAGTCAGGAATTCGTTATACACTTATATTCAAGATATACTAAGTTAAAACCTTGAATATAACGCAGATTAATTTAACTATGTTTCCCATCAATTACAAAATATTAAAAAAAAACATAATTTTCTACCAAAAGAAGAAACGATTTTATACACTTATTTACACAATTCAGCATCAATAAGCCACTTAGTTACTTTTTTTTAACGATTTTTATTTTATTTTTCAGTTCTAGAGGTAGTGCGTTATACATTTTTTGACCAGTATGAATGAATTAAATGAATTTTTTGTAAACTTAACATAATTTTTTTATGTGAAGTGTTTGAAATTGAGTAAAAATTCTTTTTTGTATTGCTTAAAGGGTCTGAAGACTTGTGTGATAGGCAGCACCCGAACCAATTATTCCATAAGATATAAGCGATTGTACCAGTGAAAAAAATAAGTAGAAATAAGTAAATACTTATCAGATATTTTAGTAAGTTGCCGGATTAAATACATTAAGTAGTAAGTATTCCGGATCTCAAGTATTACCATACCTGTGGGCTAAATTGCGACGAATAGGCTCTGTGTGGGGGGGCGTGGTCAAGGAAATCTAATTAGTGCGATTAAAAGTGAAAATATAAATAATTTTAAACGGTTTTTAATTACAAATAAAAAATGGTTAGAACGAGGCGATCAGGAAATACTTGTTGTGTTAATAGCTGCTGTGTTAATGAAGACTTAAACAACATAAAATTTTATAAATTTTCCACGCAAGGCTATAACCTCGAAAAGAGAGTAAAGTGGGTTAAAGTTGTAAAAAGAATCAAGTAAGTAAGACCATGATTATCCTAATAGCTGATTCAGAATTTATTGTTATAAATTTATAAAATTTTCTGTAGTCCTGACGGAAGTTCTTGGGAACCTAGTTTAAGATCATGTATTTGCAGTCAACATTTTGTAGGAGGTAAAAAGTCGAAGCATCCTAATAATCTCCCAACAATATTTCTTGAAAAATATTACGGAAAACCAAAAATAAATAAATCAGAGCAAGTACAAGCACAAAGCAGGTAATTTTTCTATTTATTAAACCTTGATTTATAAACGTGGGCATGTTTTGCCCCGCCCACGTAATTAATTAACATTAAAAAAAGAAAAAAATCGCAAATTTTTTTTTCCACGAAAACCTATATTTTTTGCTTTACATTTGCCGTTGTAAAATTTTTTATTTGTCTTTAATGTAATATTTATTGAGTAAACCACGTACATTTCAAGAAGTTTCTCTATTGGTTTCGTAAAATTATAATCGATATATCGGATTGACAGTTAGTAACGTTAACAGTAATTTTGTAAATAATTTTTGAACCGAGATCAGTAGATACAAAATGGCTGGACGTAAAAGGCCCACGTTTGTACAGAGGATGATATGAAAAATTAATTGAATAGTAGGTGTTCATTTTACTAAAAAATATCGGATTTCTCAATTACAGATTCGCGAGAGCAATGCGGAGAAGTCAAAATTCAAATGGTTCCGAAATGGACAACACTAAACTTGTTAATATAAGAACACGTAACGATGACCTCAACGACAATAAGGATACCGATAACCTGAATGATCATATGGATATACAGCAATGTAGTGAAGTTATTATTGACTCACTGGAACCGCGGTTTAAAGATGTTGCTGTACAGATTGATTTTCATGAAGAAATGAATGCAACCTTCGTAAATATGTTTTCAACAACACGTGACAACGGAGTAACTTGTGAATATGGGACTCAAGCAAATATTCCATTGAAAACATCTGAAAAAAAAATGGTTTTCCGAAGAGTACTGCTGAAATTGGGTGTGGAACTACCATACAATATGCAGATAAAAAAGTTGGACCGAACCCACTAGACGAAAGGGATTCGTTTGTGTATCGACAAGGATTTCAGGGATATTCATCGATAAAAAAAGAACGAGACTTGATTGATATTGCAGGAGTATCCTTCAGTCGTTTTCAATTATTATTAAAAGCAGCTGGAAATCGTTACACTCGGTCATTATCAAAAGAAAATACCCTACTTATATTCTTGACAACACATATTTAATATACCTCAGTGACAGACGTTTGCCGAATGCATTTAGCAATTAACTTATTGGTAATATTGCCACCAACGTATTCTTCAACGTGTTTAATATGACAAAAAGCCAATTTTTTCCTTTTTCTAGCGTACCTGCAGTTAAAATTATTGAATGGGAGATATTTTCAAACCCGGTCTGCAATATTACCGATGCCACACTTACAGAAAAAAAAAATTTTAATTTATAATTTTCACAATAATTTATTTTTAATTATTTTATTTATAAATTAACACGTAAAGACAATGACAAAATTGGAGTGCTGTAATTCCTTCTTTTCCGTGGGCGGCGCTACTAGGCCTCATACACGGAACGAATATGGGACGGTTTTACCCCTGAAAAAATTGTTATTGGTATTTATAAGATTTTCGAAAGCTCTGGCTTTAGGCTAAATCCATAGAATTATCCAAAAAATAACACTTTAAATAAATTATTTATGATTTGGTTATAATAATATGGTATTACGCAGAGGGTTATAAATGTACAAATAATTATTAGAAGAAAAAACGAAAACAAAAATTTGGTTAACTTTTGCCCCACCCCACCCACCCCTGCATCATAAAAAATACTGTAAATTTCATATTTACAATTTATATATTAGCTCCGTTTGTTCCAATACACAATTGTTGGGGTCCGTATATGTTAGAGGTTAGAAATAGAAACTAGTTTTAACATGTCAAATCGGCCTCCTTGGTACACACAAAACATCTATTTGGCAACTTTATTATTATGAACATGTTTAGAACGGAGTAAAACGTTAATTTGTCGACGCCGTTTCCTTCCTCGAAATGGATCCTCCGCTTTCCCCGAGGAACTTTCACAAAACTGTCTGGGAAATTGCCAGTACAATATCGTTATTGTACAATGTAGTAAAGGCGAACGAACGTTGAAGGTCGAAGGGTCATTTAATTATAGTTAGCAGCGAATCAAATAATGGAATTAAGGGAAAAGAAACAACCTAGGGCTTGTTACTTCCGAAAATCGATGAAATCGAGTTTTTCGAAAGTATCTGCGCCCCTATAAACATTTTATATTTCGGTAATGGTAAGTCCTATGGGATCGCCGTTGGTACAGAAAAAACATTTTTTTTTGTCTGTCCGTTCTCCGTTCTCGTCTTTTGGTTTTTCTTGAATAACTTTCGAACCGTTGTAGTCACAAAATTGAAATTTTCCTCCTTTTTAACCCTCCACGAGGCACATAAGCTTATAAGAAATGGCCCTGATGCGACTCCGGTATCCATCTTTTTTTCGCGATTTTCGACTGTTTTTTGAACCTTGCTATGAAACACACATACGCGTGAATACGATATTAGCCTATTTTGCTCTCTCAAAATTTTTCGATTGCCTTTGAATAATACACCCTCCATTGAGAAATTCTTTGAGATTCCGTTAGCACGTGAAGTTCATTAATTGTTTGTAACTGAAAATCCAATTTCTTCAAAAAAGTACGCAAACACACATTGGCACAACTAATGTTTAAGTATATCAGTACTTTTTATGCAGTCCTTCTAGGGTTAAAACACTATTCACTTGATAAGGGTCGTAGCCAGCATGGTCTCTAACTTTCCTCTTAACTATCCCATTTGCAACAATTTTTCTTAC